ATTTTCTTATTAAGGCTTCATCCCCGCCCGTCACGGAGGCCCATTTGTGCGATACTGACATTGCTGTGATGGATGATTATATTCAGGAGCCCCACGAGATCATGGTAAGACAATTTAAATTGTTGTGACTTAATATATACTTTCCTATACTGAGCTAACTTATTCTTCTGTAGGTTTCTACTGGACCGACGACCCCTTCTACCGATCCTGCCAACACCACTGATGATCATGCTGCAGCGCATCCTACTATAAAGAGGCACCGTGATGAGGATGATCCTGATAGCGTAGCCGGGCAGGATGGGACCTCGGCCAGCGGCTGCATTGAAGCACACAAGTTGTGGGACATATTGATTTTTTTTTTTTTGTATTTTATGTAAATAATAACAACATTTTTTTATGTTTACATAATATGCGCATTATGTTTTATTTCCCCGTTCTTTCTTTATTTTAATACTACAACACAAATACAAAACATAGTAACTTAACATAATTTAAATTCAGTACAACTAATGAAAATACATGACACGGGAAATATAAAGATAAAAGTACACTCAACACATACATGTCATTGTTTAGTCACTGCCACTCATTATTCTCTGCTTCAACCACTTAAATTTCTCTTCCATCTTATTTTTTTCTAATTCTGCCTCTTTCAGTTTCTCCTTCAACTCCGCAATTTTTGGTTTATATTCTTCTTCATATTCACACTGTTTTAAGGTCAAATCATGAAGATACTGCAAAGATCGTTTGTAGCATTCCTGCTTACAGGGTTCATCAATCCATACCTCAAAATTGCAAAAAGGTTCGTCGGAAACCCTATAAAACTTGTTCACACACATCCAGTAGCGGCGTCCAACTTCACCATCATCCCAACAGTCATTCATCATATATTTTTTGCCGCACTGGCACCTTGGTACATAAAGGCGTTCATACATTTGTTAAAGCGTAAAAAAAACCTTGCTTTTATGGAAAGTTTTGCTATTGGTTATTGTTAAGCGTAGAAAATAACTAGAATGCACCCGTTATTTATAGGCAAGGCAACACATTTGCGTGTTAAAGATTCTTTCGGATACAAAATAGCTTTTTCTCAGACGGATAGCTTTTCAGTTCGATAAGACAATACACATAACGTAGTATTTAACCGCGCTATATATATTCACATAACGTAGTATTTAACCGCGCTATGTGTATTCACATATTTATCAAAAATCTACCTTTAACTCAATTATTTTTGAACTATATTTATCAACTATATTTATCAAATATATTCACATATTTTTTATTTTTTTAATCCAATATTATTTTTGATTACATGAACGGGAGGGAGAAATATATTAATTTACTCAACTGGAAAATGTTAAATATCAATAAGATTTAACAACAATAGAAACATAATTTTATTTGATACATCTTGCAACATAAACAAAACAACTACTTATTATAACATAAACTTATTGATAGTTGGGCACATTAGAAGAACACCTACCACGAGCTTGATTACCACCGCCACCCAAACCAGCCGAAGGACATTTTCGACGACCGTGTCCTGTTTGCGAGCATATACCACATTTGCGCGCATAAACGGTATCGCTAACATCTATTTGGTTCCGTATACGCATTCTCTTATGCACCTATATTCGACGCAAATAGTCCTTGTTACACACCATTTTAAATGGTTCTGGCGGCCAATAATGCTCAGCACTCACTAGCTGCAACTTCCCACTATAGGTGTTTAAGTAAGCAACAATACTATATTATTTATCAACGTAGTTAGTTGGCTCTAAACCTGTATGTTGAAAGCACCTGATGGTATGTGAGCACGACACGTGGTAGATTTCCCACAAGATCATAACGTTCTAGATTCATTTATGGTATGTACATTATTCCCCAATTTTGATGGATAGCGGTGCGAACTTCAAAAACATTTCTGTCGTGATCATACTGCAAAAATGAATGCCAATGTGCTCGCCGCCTGCATTTCTCAAATCTTTTCATTGGCAGTGGCATAAATTCAACACCCCTTTCCATCAATGACGTTGCAGCTACAACCCTTTCAACAAACCTCTCCGCCATCTGTTTGAACTACATCCGCACCTTGGCAGTAACAGGCAATCCTCTTGCCGACTTCAATAACCTGTTGAAAGACTCTGACATGTTTGTAGTCAGAATTCCCCATCTTCTTCCACCATCCGCATGCAAAGTCCACTTGTGAAGCTCATGTCGCATCAACCAATGATAAACTCTCTCATCTTCCTGCCTGATAGATTCCATGTGCCTCCGAAATATATGCTTTTGGTGGTCTATTGCTGCCATCCATATCAAATCATGCAGATCCTTGTTTGGATATGCCTTCTGGAAATTGACCTTAAAGTGCCTCACACAGTAACAGTGGTAGGCATAAGGTTCTTGCCATGCAGGCAAGTTCTCTACAGAACTTAAGATACCACCATGCCGATCAGATATTAGACAAATGTCGGAACGCTGTTTGACAACGTGCTCTTTTAAATGGTTCAAAAATAACGTCCACATCTCTTGGCTTTCATCGGCACAAATAGCAAAAGCTAGAAGAAATATTTGTCCATTAGCATCTACTGCAATGGCTATCAACAACTTGATATCATACTTTCTATAGACATGAGTGTCGTCTATGGATATTACCGGGCGGCAATGCGGAAAACCATCAATTTCTGGTTTAAATGCCCAGAACACGTAATTGAATATATATTTTGGTTTTTCCGAACTCCGCTCAAGCTTCCATTCAACAACCGTCCCAGGGTTAAAGTGTTGCAGTGCGGCCATGTACTTAGGTAGAGCTGCAAATGACTTATCCCAGTTACCATAAATAATTTCAAACGCACGTTTGCGCCCGAGAAATGCCTTTCTTTTAATAATGGTATGGCCATATTCCCGGTGGACTGATGTAATGCACTCTTTGATTTTATACCTTATGGACGCTTCAAGGTGTGGAATAAGGACAAGAGAAATCAAGTCAATATCCAAGTTGTAGTGATTCCTATTGAATGTTTCCATTTTTACATCTGTGGGTGGGAATGTATTTACCCACTTCCCACAAACCTGTTTTCTTCTTGCTCACACGCAGTATCCAATGACAACCCGTAAACCATCTACGACAAATAACCTTGTATACCTCCGGAGTTGAATTACATACCGTCATCTCATGACACTCTTTTACGCTGTGCATTTTCGCCGCCTTGCTTAGGCGTGCTTTATCAGGAAAAAGCATGCCCTTTGCCAGCACCGTTGGTCTAGAATCATCTCACATTGCTGTCCGAATTTCATCAAAATTCCTTGTGAGAGCATCCACATCCGGCATACTTGGCAAGTTATCAAGGTAGGGAATCTTCCTTGAATGAAACGACACTTGGGACTCGTACACTCTTGGTCTAACAGGGGGTGGAGCATACTCCCTCGTCAAATCAGGTCCTTCATTCTCTTCCTCCTCATCACCATCCTCACGAGGGAATGGTCTGTCATCTCCGGAATCATCGACATTGTTGTCATAATCACTGTTCTCTTCCTCACTCTGTGCATCTGCCAGATCCCGATTTAATATGTCGTCTTCGGGCAATTGAGTGAGGACAAGTGGTTCAACTTGCTCGTTTTCACTGCACAAACAACAAAATAATAAGCTACTGAAATTAATAAATACTTTCCATATAGATGTATCACTTCACTTATAAGTCGTAACGTGCTGACATTCCTTGATGGGCATTATCCTGTTGGTGATGACTCCTGGATGGACCACCATGATCCAACACACCAGAACTACGCATATTCCAACTGGGCGTGGGTTCATAACTTGTAAAAGTCATATCTGGCTGGTACCCCATGTGGAATATATGAGTGTTAATACAGATTCAATACAACAAAAATATACATCATAACACTAAGGAAAATTAAAGTTTACCACTCGTCTTGTAGATTATGTAAAGTAGGAGAGAAATTATTTTCTCGCTCCTCATTCGTCCGTGGTGATAAGTTTAAATCAGCGCAAACTCTTTCATCCGGAATCTGTCCGGCAAAAGCTGCTCCAGAATAACCACCCGATGACTGAGGGTTATCCCTACTATGCGCAACCTCATTATTGCGAACGTCTTTGACCTTGACGTACATTTCCAATATTTTTATCACAAGAAATTTTCGATTTTCATTCGGAATCCTCAAAAAATCCTTCAAAGTTTCATCATCGTCGATGTTAAACTCAGCGTAACAAGCAACCCCTTGCGGAGTGATGGAATACGGATATCTTCCGGTTACTTTAAGGTTCACCGAACGTTTCCTCACACTCATTTTATTACATAACAACGATACCAATCTATTGTACTCCATTGTAAGTGGCAACTTAACATGATTTTGTGGAGATAAACTATAGCTCACAGAGTTATTCACCACCACAATCCCACCCCCCAATATAATGAAACCCTTACTTTTCGCTCTTCAGACATTATGAAAAAATGCTTGAGAATTTAACAGAAGAAAAATTTGAACGAGAGTTAGGAATATTTTTGAATGGATTTTTGTAAAATCCTAACACCTTTAAATAAGGCAATGCCTAGCTCGGTGGGCTGGATTTTTTTTAGGTATAGCGCTCTTTTAAAGAGCGCTATACCCATTTGAATTATTGTTATTTCAGTTAAACGCAGGAGATTTATTGGTGGGCCCACAAAACAGGTATAACGCGGTTATATACCGTGCTATGCATGTATAACGCGGTTTACCGTGACGTTATATATATAACGCTCTTTTAAAAAACGCTACATATATAAATGTCACTTTTTTTTTAAACACACATTTCGGTAGCACTTGAGAAAAAAAACCACAAATGGGTTCCTTTAAACCTATATATTATAGCCTTGCAACACATACTTCTATTGTACGTTCGGTACTTATTTCTTTTTTATTTTTAACCAATCACAATCGTTCCAGGTTGGTGTGAAAATGATTTACCACAAATTTGTCCTGGGTCCATCCCCAACCACCTTTTTGGGTTCACCAACCCAACCCACAATTCAAAATTATCATAGAAAAAGCACCCCCAAAAGTTACGGAAAATATCCAGAATATCCCCTAAACATTTCTGAACACTCTGATTTTTCCTCTCTGTTTGCACTTCACTTCTCACGCCTCGACGGAGCCCCCAACGTCTCCTCACACTTTCCCTCTTTCTACCTTAGAATATATATTCATATCTTCTCGTCTGCTTATCTTCTCATTCTCTCTCTGCTGCAGTTTAGTTTCCCTGATCTGATTCGCCAAAATGCAGAGCACTGCAATCTCGTTTTCTCCGTCAATTTCACTTCCTAAGAAGCCTCACAAGCCTTCTAGTTCCGCTTCGTTATTCAGATTCAATCCTTTATCTGCTCAATCTTCTCGATCGACGCTTCGTTTTGGCTCTCTAAACGGCTCCGTAGCTCGGAAACTCAATCCTCTTCGCTGCTCAGCTGATTCGTTGAATCGTAATGGATGGATTTCAGTTCCGCCGCCGGCTCCCGAGCGTGAATCGGACGGAGTGGAGGTTCGGGCCACGTCCGTGCCCGAGAGCGCTGGAGACGCCCCTACATCCAAGCCTTTGACGGATACTTTGGTGCTCGGATCGCTTTTCGGCCTTTGGTATCTATTTAACATCTACTTCAACATTTACAACAAACAGGTGTGCTTTACTTCCGCTGATCTGAGGTCCTAGTTGTTTTTACTATTTGTTTATATGTGTATTGCTTCATTACTTGTGGTTGATAGTGTTTTTTTGTATGTATAAATGCATGCATGTATTGTAATTTATGAGGTTCTTCAAGGCATTTATCGTTCAAATTTTTCAGACTATAGATTTAAACTTTTTAAATTTTTGGAATTATCTATTCGCTGAGTATGTATGTTTGCAATTTGAGCCATTTTCATCCTACATTTATACTATATAGTTTGCAACTTAATTGAAGTGATTTTGGATCCCTCACTAGATAGAAATGTTACCTTTTGTGTTTCCAAACATGGCAAGGTGTGTCATTAATTAAGATTCGCATATTCTGTAGGTCCTGAAAGCGTTCCATTACCCAGTTACAGTGACTCTCGTGCAATTTGCCGTTGGCAGTGTCCTTGTAATTCTAATGTGGACTCTCAATCTATATAAAAGGCCAAAAATCAGTGGTGCACAGGTAACTTCATTGAGACAGATTTACTATGCTTTGGTTTAGACCTGATTATGTGCGCAAGTTCTGATTCTATATTTTCAATCGGCAGCTTGTTGCAATTTTGCCGTTGGCAGTGGTGCATACCTTGGGCAACCTTTTCACCAACATGAGTCTTGGAAAAGTTGCTGTATCATTCACTCACACTATTAAAGCTATGGAGCCATTCTTCTCCGTTGTTCTCTCTGCTATGTTCTTAGGCGAGGTGTGGTTTAGATGATTACTTTTACATTTCTATATAAAGCTCTTGTATTCATCTTGTGATAACGCGAATACAACTATTTTTCAATCTCTTTTTCCTTTTATTTTCATCTTAATTCAGATCATATTTATGCGTACTTGAAAAGAAAAGATATTCACTTCCATGTAGTTCTTTGTCTTCTGATCTATGTTATTATAGTTAGTGACATTGGATGTGTCTTGTTCATGCAGTTCCCTACCATATGGGTTATGTCTTCTCTTGTACCAATTGTTGGTGGAGTGGCACTGGCATCGTTGACTGAGGCCTCTTTTAATTGGTGGGGAATTCAAATGTTCTATGTTAAATAATGCCATATGATTTGTTGCTTTCTTGGTATAGAAATGGGAGACAGTTTTGATAAAAGTTTTATTTCAAATTTTAATATACAGTTCTTCTTTTGTCGATTACCAGGGCTGGGTTTTGGAGTGCAATGGCCTCTAATTTAACTAATCAATCTCGTAATGTCCTCAGCAAGAAGTTTATGGTTCGGAAGGAGGTAATAATATTTTTTTCGTGCTATTAGATGAGGGTATGAAGAAAATGTGCACCCAAAGTTGAAGGGTTCTTTGGTTGATATTTCAAGCTTATATTAAATGGTATTTGTGAGAGCGAAATGTTTGTGTGGTGTTCAATAGTTCTTTTCCATTTTTCATGAAGTAACTAGCTTGTTTCTGGATTAACCTTATTGCCTTTACTAGACAAAACCCAAGTTATGTCTCTTGGGTGGTTTTTGTTGGTTTCTGAAATGCTGCGAAGTTTACAGTTGTAATTTTTTAACAGGACTCATTGGATAATATTACTCTCTTTTCAATAATCACGATCATGTCCTTTTTCTTGCTGGCCCCGTACGCCTTTTTCGCTGAAGGTGTCAAGTTCACTCCAGCATACCTTGAGGCTGCAGTAAGTGATACTTATATAAAGTGGAAGTTTACACTGGTTCTACCCCTTTGCTTAAATAGAACCTCTGGGTATTTTTTCATTGTTCCATTGTAGAAATTTCCGCAACTTTTTGAAAAAACTTTCATGATTTTCCTTTGGTGCTAGGGAGTGAATGTCAACCAGCTGTACACAAGGTCTCTCATTGCTGCTCTCTGCTTCCATGCTTATCAGCAGGTATAAGGGTTTTACCTTATATATCTCATTGATTCATTGGAGTCCTACGCGTTTCTACTCAAATTCTAGCCTGTCTCATAGTGAGAAAGCACAAAATTTATGTTGCTACAATAATGAACAAACAAGGTCACATGAGATCTAATTATGCATTGTTGGTCCACTGAGTTACAAGCCGTGCACCCACTGGCCCTCGGGGTTTTCTCGGTAGTAAAAAAAAATTGGTGTATCTGTAGTTTGGTTTTGTGCTGGTGTGTTGTTAGCAATTTGTTATTGTTGGATCATGGATGTTCCCTTGTTCTAGTAAAGGATAGGAACTTTCCTTTTCCTGCCATGTATTTTTGACAGTATTGAGCATGCGGCAAGCTCAGATTCCTTCCTTGCTATCTCCTAAAGTACAGTTGTGTCCTGCCTGCCTTATTTAGACGCTTGAGCTTGTCTAGAAAGATCGATGAGGTTTTTGCTGCTTTTCATCCTGGAGCAGTCAGTTTGACAAAATTGAAGATGTAGATGAGGGGGAAAGCTTTAAATTGCATGCCTTTTAAAATGTCAGGAAGACTCCAAAATTATGAAAACAAACGGGTGGCAGTTTCTAATTTTGGCTATGATCAATGGCCATTTTAAGGCAGAACGGGCTAAAAATTTCTTGTACAGTTTACTCGTGGCTGTGTGACTGACGGCTGCAACTATGCAGCTCTTGGTTTGATTTAGTAGAATTCGTTGTTTAATGTAATTTCATAAACCAATGTGACAATTCTTCATGAATTACTGAAAATTGTGTCACTTTCATTTGCGACTACTGCTGGTTATGTTATTTCTTGCTGACACTCAAGTATTGGTGCAGGTTTCTTACATGATATTGCAGAGGGTATCTCCTGTTACTCATTCTGTGGGTAACTGTGTGAAGCGAGTGGTGGTTATTGTGACGTCCGTGCTCTTCTTCCGCACACCTGTTTCTCCCATTAACGGTTTGGGTATGACACCTTACACTTTATACTTGTCATCATATAGCTGATTGAGAAGGAAACCCCTTTTCCCATTTCAATCCTTCCAGATGGCAGCTCGAGTGAACTAATGTGAATGCAAAAAGTTAGAAGTTGCCTTTTTTATTTACAATATGATAATCATTTTCTTCTTCATTTTCTATGTAGGCACTGGAGTGGCCCTTGCTGGAGTTTTCTTATATTCAAGGGTGAAGCGCATTAAACCTAAGGCAAAAACGGAATGAAGTCTAGATCAATTTTGATGGTAAATTGTGATCATTAGATGGATGAACCAAAACTTGGTTGTATTCTAGGCAGGGTCTTCTTTTAGTTTGTTGTGCCATGTGGGACGAGTTATTCTTTTCTGATGCAGCCTTAACTAATTGCTGCTAATTTGACGATTTCACTACATCACTATCGTCTTTCTTCTGTAGGGTGTTATATGTTTTGTAATGTACGGCATGTTTAGGACCCAAGTAGCTTCAGCTGGCGCTGAAAGCCTGAAAACATCAAAGAGTTGGGGAGAGTTTGTCATATTTGATTACATCATACCATTGCATTCAAAATATTTTTCTCCCTCGAAGGGGTCTCTCTAAGTGGATACCGGAAGTCTACATTCCGTAGCGATAATTATGTGTTATTTTGTAGAAGAGCAGAAATTATAATGCATCAATTTACCCATATCCATATCCAATTAAAGTAAAAAGAGATGAGGAGGAATTGCACAGGCTGGTAGTTAAGGAAAATAGCAATTACCTTAAGAACGCTGGAAAACTCCCTTGTCAAAATAATCTATCTATATTATTATAAAAGTATGACTAAAATATTGGTTTACTAAAATAATCTTATAATATTAAGCATAATAACTCACAATTAAAGGGCATAACCGAAATTCTAGACATTAGCCTTGTAATCCTATTAGTTTTAGGACATAATATTACACATTAGAAATCTTACATGATTACCTTTAGGAATCATATTAGTATAATTATTTTCTGGCATAGATATATAATACGTGTTTGCATGTAAACCTAATACCTTTAGGAACACGTTAGATTTTCTATTAATATAATTACTTTCGGAATATGGACATATTTTTAGTCATGTAATCCTATTACTTTTAGGATATACTTCTTAAAAAATTCATATTACAAATTTAATTTGAAAATATATTATATTGTCCAAATCCATTTAGAAACAGGAGAGCCTATATATTATTATAAAAGTACGAATACAATATTTATAGACCAAAATAGCCATAAAATATTAAACAGAAGAACTCATAGGGAAAGGACATAACTATAATAGCTTATTTTTTTTGGACAACAATAACTTCTATGTTAAATTTTTTTAATATTTAAGATTTTAAAATTAATAATCATGTCTATTGAGTTCTTATTAAAAATATATAGAAAGGTTTAATAAAATCAATTTCATAAGAATCTTCCATATTGGTAATACATTATCACTCTATAATATCCAATACCAAGAAAAAATAAAAGTAATGTTAAACGTACTGCATAAAGCATTGAAATTGAGAAAATAATTTTCACGATAATATATTATTATATTACATTTGAACTGCTTTCCTAATCAAATAATATTTTATTATTATTAATTTTTTGTGTAATATTAAAAAATATACCCAATCATTAAAGTATAACTAAATTTTTTTTAAGACTGTAAATGTGTGAAAGAGAAAGAAAAAGGTGGTAAGAGTCGATACCACTAATGATTTTGCAAACATAAAGATCTAAAAGTGGAATGTTAGATCGATCCTTTTACTATTTGAAAATAAAATTTATGGTGGATAAAATTATAATTACGGTTAAATATTCAAACATGAGATGAATAATTATTAAGAATCTGAATCAACATAAAATAAATTATTTTTTTATGTTAAAACCAAATAATCAAATCTTTCAATAATTATTTAGCAAGAGAATCCAATTAAATTATTTTTAAAATTCATCGTATGAGTAAAATTAATTTTTAAGTTAAAATAAATATTAGGGTACATAAATTTATTCCATACAAAGAGTGTTAGAGATTAAAAATAATTAGATCACAAAGTTAAAATGATTAGTATAATATTAAGAAGGCCATACAAGTGTTTGAGGAAGCACAATCAAAGTTAAATCCTGAACAAGAATAAGCTTTCAAGACTATTATTATAAAAAGTCGACTATGGTATAGCGGGATTATTCTTTGTAGATGCCTCCAGCGTAATTAAAATAATATTCATATATCATGCATTACTTACAAATGTCAGATCAAGAGGCATGATATTGTTAGCCATAAGAACAATTGGTATACCATCAATGATTTTATTATTAGGTCGTACAACTCACTTTAAATTTGATATACCTCTTCAAATAATTGAAATAACCTTCACAAATATATCAAAGCAAGAAATAGTGCTACATTTATAAGCGAAGCAAAAGTGATAATATGTGATGAAGCGTTTTTGGCTAAGCGTCAAACGATTGAAATAATTGCCTAAAGTTTTAGAGATATATTGGATATCAATGAATCATTTGGTGGAAAAGTAATAATTTGGGAGGTGATTTCTGTCAAGTACTATTAGTAGTTTCGAAATTGATGAAAGCAGAAAGTGTAAAAGCTAGCTTGTCAAAATTATTCTTATGACCTCAAATGAAAAATATTCAAATGACAAGAAATATAAAAGTAAGAACAGATCCAATATTCAGTGACTTCTTGCCTCGTGTCAGAAACGAAGAAGAGTATCCAATAAAAGATGATTTAGTTCTTCTAGAACACTTGGTTATCAATCCCAATGGTAATAGTAGTGCATTTAATAAGGAAAATATTTCCATCATTAGATTAAAATGTAATTTGTGCAAATTACATGATAAAAATTAAAGAGCTATCTTAGCTAGCAGAATGAATTGATCAACTATATAAAAGGTTGATTGCTAAGTTTTATGGTAAAAATAAAATATTTTTCAGTTTTGACTTAGCAGAAGATGATATCAACAATTACTACAAAGAAAAATACTTAAATATTTTAATACCAAATGGCCTTCTACCGTACATATTTGTTGCCAAGTTCATTATTTCTTACGTATTATAGTGTCACCATATATGTAATAGATTAAGTTAAAATTGATCTTCCATTGCATATAGGTTGATTTTGAAGAAAAATGTGTCCGTCCTGCTTCTGAAAACTTCCGCCGAATAGCTTATGTAATAGTACACATATGGTATATATAAGTTTTGACAATAACGTCGTACATGTAGAACTTATGATACTGTCAATGTGCTTTTAAGTATGTGTTTATCTCCGAATTCAACTTTCATCTTCCAAAACTAAAGAATATCCTTTTAAATGTGTGTGAAAATAATTTTTAGTATGTTTATGTTTTGTAGTTATAATAAATAAAGCACAAGGACAAACATCATAGATATTGGACTATATTTACAACAATATGTTTTCTTACACGAATAACTATATGTTGCACTTTCAAGAGAGATATCAATATCGATAACAACAGTTCTGTTTATGGCAGAGCAACCAAAGATTTAGAAGGAAACATACACAAAAAAACATCGTCTATAAAGAAATATTCGATAAGATACCATCACATTAGATACCTTTAAACTACAATACATAATTTTCTACTTAACATGACTAAAATTGATCATTTGTGTAAGTTCTGATGATGTCCTTTAATTTTGAATTCACGTATTATGCTGATGTAGTAATATTTTTCGGCATTTAGATTATTGTTGTATTATTATATATAAATTTTTTTCATTAATTAAATTTTATTATTCTTTCATATAAATAAATATTTAAATTATCATGTGCCATTATTAACGTGCAACGCATATTTATAAATACTACTAGTAAATAAATAAATATGGAGAAAAAGGGGAGGGAAGTCGAATGTTCTACCAAATACTGTGCTGAGCCCATGAATGAAATACGAGAACGAGAGCGATATGAGTCACTTTGCCCAATGGCCCATATACCTTTGCAATATATTTCAGATCAGTCCAATACACAGGGTTGTTAATGTCAGATACAACAAAACAGTGGCTCTAATTGCAGGGGTCTACAATGCTATTGGGGTTATGGGAATAATCAATGGATAACTGCCATGGCTGCCTAAAAACCAAAGTTTCGGCACATCATTTTCACCAATAATGACCCACCAATGTTCGATCACCGATCCAAATAGATTCAAACGTTTTCTTAAACACTTTTTTGTGACCTAAATATCTCCTTCCACCTTCCAAACAAGTGGAAAAATGCAGATACTGTATTTTGTTATTAAAAAAAAAAAGTTCAACTTTTGCAAACTCTAATTTGTCTGTTGATTTTGCCAAAAAAAAAAAAAGTTTACTTCTTCAAATAAGAGTTTTGCAAAAAATGATTTTCTTTAAAACAGGCTTTGAATTTTCAAAGCAAACGCCACCAAAAAAGTTCAAAAAAGAAAAAGAGAAAAATCCACCTAAAATGACCTTAATGGCTTCTATTCTTGGGTACGGTATTGCTGAGACAAG